TGATTAATGCTGCCGTTCCTCCCTCACCCCCAAATTTCCAAGCTCCACACAGCAGGATTGGGCCCGGCCCTATGCCTAAAAGGTTGAGCACCACTGCATAAGATTGGAAGTGCCCGAAAATTGGAAGAAGGCCAACGTGGTGCCTATCTTCAAGAAAGGGAGGAAAGAGGATCTGGCCAACTACAAGCCCATCAGCCTGACCTCTATCCCAGAGAAGGTCTTAGAAAAGATTATCAAAGAGACCATTCTTAACAGACTGGCTGATGGCAACATCCTGAGGGATAGCCAGCACGGGTTTGTTGCAGGTAGGTCTTGCTTGACGAATCTTATTTCCTTTTACGACCAGGTGACCCATCACCTGGACAAAGGAGAAGAGACTGATGTCATATATCTTGACTTCAAAAAAGCCTTCAATCTGGTATCCCATGATCACCTCTTAGCAAAACTGGCCAACTGCGGCCTCGGCTTCACCACAGTGTGCTGGCTGGGGAATTGGCTCCATGGTCACACCCAGAGGGTGGTGGTTAATGGAAGTCAATTGTTGTGGTGCGCTGTGACCAGTGGGGTCCCTCAAGGCTCTGTCCTTGGGCCTATACTATTCAACATCTTCATTAATGATGTGAACATTGGTATCAGAAGTGGACTGGCAAGTTCGCCAACAACACCAGACTTTGGGGTAAAGCATCTACACCTGATCCAGGCTGACCTTGACAGGCTCAGGAAATGGGCAGATGAGAATCTGATGGTGTTTAACACCAAAAAATGCAAGGTTCTCCACCTTGGGAAGAAAAACCCGCAGCATGCTTATAGGCTTGGCAGTGCTACACTGGCTAGCACTATGGATGAAAGGGACTTGGGTGTCATGATTGACCATAAGATGAACATGAGCCATCAATGTGATGTTGCAGCTAATAAAGTGAGCAAAATGCTGGCTTGCCTCCATAGATGTTTCTCAAGCAAATCCCAGGACATCATTCTGCCATTCTACTCAGCCTTGGTGAGGCTGCAGCTGGAGTACTGCATCCAGTTTTGGGCTCCACAATTCAAAAAGGATGTGAAGAAGCTTGAGAGAGTGCAGAGGAGAGCCACGTGCATGATCAGAAGTCAGAAAAACAGACCTGATGATGAGAGGCTGAGAGTTATGGGACTCTTCAGCGTGGAAAAGCGCAGGCTCAGGGGCGATCTAGTGGCTGCCTATAAGTTTATAACGGGTGCTCACCAGGATCTGGGGGAACATCTGTTCACCAGAGTGCCCCAGGGGATGACAAGGTCAAATGGTCACAGACTCCTCCATGACCATTTCAGGCTGGAGATAAGGAAGAACTTCTTTACTGTCTGAGCCCCCAAGGTCTGGAATAGGCTGCCGCCGGAGGTGGTTCAAGCACCTACTTTGAATGCCTTCAAGAGACATTTGGATGTTTATCTTGCTGGGATCCTATGACCCCTGCTGACTTCCTGCCCCTGGGGCAGGGGGCTGGACTGAAAGATCTTCCGAGGTCCTTTCTAGCCCTAATGTCTATGAAATAAGCTATACACATACATATTTTGGGGTGTAAGCATAAAGTGTGCCACCTATTTAAATTCAGAAAAAGTGTACCCTGGGTATCAAAAGTTTAGGAAATGCTGACCTAACCTGCTCTTAAAAACTTCCAGAGAGAGATTCTACCACCTCTGTAGGGAATCCATTCCAATGCTTAATGACCTGCAAAAGTAGCAAGTTCTTCCTAATATCCAACCTAAATTTTACGACTGTTGTAATTTAAAACTGTTATCCTTTTTTCCTGTCCCCTGTGGCCATAGAAAACAATCAAGCACCATCAGGACTGTCCAATTGGTGGCCTGTGAAGGGTTATCAAATCCCTCCACCCCCTAGCCTTCATTGGGATTAAAAAATCCTCGTTCTCCCAAAATTTAGGCTAAATAATCTCAATTATTTCATGCTTGCCTTAAGTACTTAAACATAAGAGAAGTCCCTTTTGAGGGGGATTGGCTTAGGTGCATTCCAAGCCAGGCCCAACATCCTTTGATACACTGGGGGCATGTGTAGATAAAATAGGGGCCTTTAATTGAAGAAGTGAGTTTTAAAAAACACCACTTCCATTTAGGGCCAATTAAACCCTGTGTTGTGCACACACCCTTCTGACTTACCTGCCTCTCTGGCAGAGAGGGGAGGGTGACCTGACAGCAGGCGGAGCAGTCCCTGGGCTGTTCGGGGGGGGGGGGCTGGTGCTTCCCTCCACAGCAGCAGTGCCCACCCCCACCCCCCAGTGGCACCTGCCCACAGGCACTTGACTCAGTCCCAGGGGGCACCGCAGCCACAGAGGGAAGCACTGGGCCCCCACACAGCTCAGGCAGACAGGCAGGCTCCGGGGAGGGGGAAGACCAGGCTCATCGCTTTCCTTGGGCAGAGCCTGTTTTCCTGGGCTGCTGCCAGGCTGTCTGCACAGGCTTCCTGCAGAGCCACAGAACTGCACAGGGCCTGGTGCTTTCTTCTGCAGTTGTAGGGGCAGCAAACTAAAACTCCTTGAAGGAGTTTTAGTTTGCTGCGCCCCAAGTTATTTAAGGTGCATTATGCTACCGAATTTCCTACAGCGGCTGGAATTAATGAGCAATACACCGCCAAGGCATACAAACATGGACACCATTAAAGCAATGCAAAGGCATTTAGCCAGCTTTAAAGTGGTGTGCACACATGCCCCTCATTTCGTCTACACACGGCTTGGGACCTTATTCTCTCTTGCTGTCCTAAATGCTTCCATTTGGGTACAGGGTTATCCTGTTTGTGCATGACAGCCATCTTTGCTCAATCACTGCCCAAGGAGCAGCAGGAATGGAAAAGGCTTATTATGCCCTCCCACCTTGCAGTGGCACTGACTTCAGTGGCATAGTGAGTTTGTGACTGTTGTCAGTTAAAGCTCTGAAATCTGGGAGTTTCACCATGAGAAGTTAGGACTTCTTCCCAAATTTTAGATTTCAGATTTGAAATCCGGCTTCAGATGACAACTTGGGCTGTGAGCTAACCAAAGAAAACATTCACTCAAACAATCCCCTACTATGTAAAAGCATTCTATTTCATACCAATTTATTATTAGTCTATTCTTAATAAAATAACTCTTTTTCAGCTGCCTTTGTTGTTGTTGTTGTAAAAACCCTCTTTTATTCTCAGTTAGTTAAGCAGAGCTGGGCTGTCCAAAACAAAGTGACACTCAAGCTTCAGTACATTTTTTAATATAGCATTTTTAATGAATCCCAGTCACTAAGAAATAATGTTATCTAGGTCAGACTTTTTTAATATTGTTTTCTGTAGATGCTTAGTCACACTGCATTTTCTAAAATGAGTTCTCCTGTGAAACCCCATTTAATGCTTTGCTTTCTCACAGCCTCATGGTTTGACTTTCTGGGATTTTTTTTATCACTGAAAAAAAACCCCCCCAAAAAAACAGGTGATCACTCAGGCAGAGCCACATTCAAGATTTCTAACTTTGCAGGGAGGGAAAGAAAGGAGTGGGTAGGGGAAGGGAGGGAAGAAGGGGAATACTCCCAGGTATCTCAGTTTAGCGGCCAAATTCTGCCTTCAAGCGCACTGATGTAAGTGAGGTTATATGATATATATTTGGGGAAAAAAGTAGCCACAATCAGCTTGCTTCTCTCCTCAGCTACACAAATATATCACCTATTAAAGCTTAAAGGAGCTATTCTTGTAAATTCAGGGACAAAATTGGATTTTGTGACCAAGAGTGCAACACAAAGGATATTATATACAATATAATGCTATTGTATTCTTTCTATTTTGCTACTCCTGAAAACTTCGGTCTTAGTGAAGTGTCCATATGTTTTTACCACTAGATCAGTGCTTAGCCCATTTATCTCTGTTCCCATGCGAATCTGACAAGTAACACCTCTGACAGGCACTTCTTCATTGGATGCGCAGACTGGTATTATGAACTTGAAACAAAATATCCTTCATTTGAAACACTGAAACATATTGCAGTTAACATGATTTCACAGGCTGGCATTTCAGATTACAGGGCCCCATAGACTATGGCATGCCCCTGCAATAAATACGAAGTATGACGTACCTTTCCTTTTACTCAGAGTCATTGCAGTATGTCACAAAATGTGACATTCTTCTTTTCTGTTTTAGAATCATACGGGTCTTCAGCAGGTCATAGAGTCCAAACATCTGCTCAGAGCAAGATCATCCCTTCAGACAAGTGTTGGTCTAACCTGCTTTTAAAAACTTCCAATAATGGAGATTCCACAACCTCTCTAGGTCACGGGTTCTCAGCTTCCAGCCCACAGGCTAGAATCTAGCCTGTGCAGCCCTATCACATGGTCCATGGGGCTCCCCATGGCTCCAGAAATTTGGCGATAGGGGAATAGTGGCAATGTTAATTGCTGCTCCACTGTTGCCAGATTTTTGGACCATGGGGAGCACTGCAGATTAGATACTGTGGTCTGTGTGCTATATCAGGCCAGCATGCAGAGTCATTTTGGCACATGGCTCAATCTGGGCACGCAGGGTCACTCCAGTGCACAGCTGGATCTTGGTGTTTTGGGTCACTCCAGCATGTTATACTGCACCTACAAACTGACCCCATGCACCAACCCCACATCACTCATCCAGCCAGCAGAGGAAGGTTGGGTGCCACCATTCTAGGTAATCTATTCCAATGCTTACCCACCTGTGTAAAGAAAATGTTCTTCCTAATATTCAACTTTAATTTCCCTTTCTGTGATTTAAGATTGTTATGCCTTGTCCTTTCTCCTGTGGACTCAGAGAATTGTCTATCGCTATCCCCTTTATAACCACCCTTCAAGTATTTGACAGCTGTTATCAAGTCCCCCTCACAGGCTTTTTGTCTTCAGGCTTAATAACCCCACTTCTTCCAGTCTTTCTGTTTAAGTCCTGTTTCCTAAACTTGTCATCATTTTTGTTGCTCTCCACTAGATGACATCCAGATATTTTTTATAACTATTGTTCTGTTGTATTCTTTCAGATAATGTGTTGGACCAGTTAAATAAGACAAGCGATCCTGAGTCTGCTCACAATTACATTGGTGCAAATACGAAGTGACATCATTTATCTGCACCTTCAGAGGAGATTTACATTTGTGTGAGTCAAAGAGAGTTTGTCCCAGTTTGCTTATATTAACGATCTGTATAGAACTGTACTTGCATAACATATGAGCTGTGACATCATGTCCTTCTCTGTCCCACACATAAAGATGTTGAGTGAGAGGCTTTCTCCTCTTACTCCATGGCACATTAGAGGAAACACCCGTGTGCAGTGGAGGACAGAACCGGGTAAACAAATTATTTTAATTCTTTCACTGGTCTAGGAGTAGAGTCTCCGGTCCCATGGTAAGATCCACCTAAGCATCAGACACTTTGAATGCATAGGTCCAAGGGTGCTTTTCATCTCTAGATCACAAAACAGGATCAAAAACGTGGAAGTGGAAGGTAATATTACCTCTATTCAGCAAGGCTAGGGACAGACATTACACATAAACTGGTTTAAGTGATCAGAAACTGGTTTAAATCTGTAACAGAACATACATTCAGTACACATAAACCAGTTTGAAAATGGCTGAAACCAGTTTGAGATAAACCTGGCTAAATGTAGTATGAGATTTAACTAATTTGGCTCAAACCAGTTTGTGCAAGGTCTGTCCCAGACCTCTTAATGGTTTAAGAGAAATCAGAGACCCCCAGCACCCTGGCATGCTCTCTGGGCTGGGCTCTGCTACAGAGAGCTGAGCTGGCCCCTTCCCTCTGCTCTCTAGCCGGAGAAGGGGTGGGACGTGGCCAGGTGCTGGCCCACCATGGCCCCTGAGGCAAATTCCTTCCTCCATCCCTTTCCCCCTCCACCCCTGCTGGCAAACCCTATGGACTGCAGCTGGGGTTTGCCAGCCCCAGCTGCACCTCCATGACTTTCCTGCAGTCAGGCAGAGATGGAATTAATTCCTCCCTCTGTCCAGCTTGCCTGCATCCAGGGAGGGGATTAATTCCACAGCAGTCCCAGAGCAAGGGAGAGAGGCAAGCTAGTTGCCTGTATGCAGATCCAAGACCTACACCTGTGAACCCAGAGCTAAGACCTTCAGGACCAGACTGAGAGATGGGAAGTTTTGGCAAAGACCTGACAATCATCACACATGTGCTGGAGATGAAGTTAAGGGAAGTTGCAGACAGCTTCTGGCTGGAAGGTGCAAACAAAAGAATGCAGAGACTTACATTTATGTTATAAAGCATAACCTGTAAAACCTAAATGAAGTCTTTCTGAATGCCTGGCTATAAGGAGACATTCTGCCCTCAGGATTAGTAGGGCTTATGCAAGGCTCTCTCTTGTCTTGCTGCTTTACATTTTCAGTAAGACTAGGTTCTATATGCTGTGTTTTGTGTTTTACTGGGCTATATCTTAACCTAGGTGAAGATTTTTGGTAGTTCCCTGTTGTATGCTTTGCAAATTGCTGTGTTCAGTACATGCTTCCTTCAGAGAATGGACTTTTTCCCATCCCCACTCAGTCTGGCAGCAGCGCCCCCCAGCCCCCCAGGCTGGTGGCTGGCATCCTGTGTGTCCTGCTAGCCCCAGGCTGGTGCCTGGCCATGCCCCCTCCACTCCAGCAGGGAGGGGTGAGAGTCTTGGCAGTGTTGGCAAGCATGCCCTAGCACCCCCCAGCTTCTGGCTTGACCCACTGCAGGCATGTGCCTGCATTTCCTGATTTAACAGAGAATGTCTGTCCAGTTATTAATCAGTTTAAGCTGTGCAGCTTAGACTAACCTGCAAAGAGTAAATCAATTCAGTCTCAGGGTTTTTGAATGTCTGCCCCTAGCCCAAGTAGGGAAACTGACAGAACAATGAAGTGACTTGCCAGTGGGGGCCCCCAGTAGGTCAGTGGCTGCACTGGGCATGAAACCAAGCCTCTTGACTTCCAGCCCAGCACCCTTCGCATTTTATTATCCCACATTTTCTCCTGCAACTTCAGACTAGATTCTATTCCACCTATTGGGCATCTAACTGGACATGGATGTGTAAGTGGCATTCTGTTCCACTCCCTTAAAGTCCTAAAATCCATGAATGCATCTGCTTTTGTAACATGCCACCATTTGATCCTTAATACCGAGTCACAAAAAGGATGAAAAGAAGGGACCAGTCCAGCAAGCACTGCGTGTGCTGTGTGGATCAACTCAAGAGCCAGGACCAACACCATAGGCCAAATAATGTGGTTCCACAGACTGAATCCAATCCACAGGCCATATCTGATTAACACCCCTGATTTACACCAAACATCTGAGCAGCAGGAGGCCAAATGCCATGTGGGTCACATTCTGTATGGGCAACACAGTGCTCTCCCCTCCCCACCACTGTACACACTGTGCAGGCACCCTTGCTCCCCTTTTCTCCCAGCTGCACATACCATGTCGGCAGCCCCTCACCTTCCCCCCCCCCACAAGCACAGCTGGTCTTCCCCCATCCCAGGTGCAACACCTTCCCCCTCTTTCACCTGCACACACCACCCACCTGCAGTGTAGGCAGCCCAACTCCCTTCTTTGCTATATTCATAGTTTGGGCACTCCAGCCCTTCCCTGGCTGGTGATGCAGGAGCAAATGGGGGCAAGGAGGAGTAGCAACTGGGCCAGAGCCTAGGGTTTGCATACAATCCATTGGACATTCCTGATCTAAGCCATCAGGTCCTTTTACACAAGCAAAATTTATATTGCTTTGTATATTATAACTATTCTTAATGTCACTAGCAAACATCCCCCAGCAGTAATGTGGTGCTGCAGTTATGCTCCTATTCAGCATAAAAGAAAAAGGTATAGTAACCTGGGTAAATCAAAATATTTCTATAGCCCAACAATGGTTACACAGACCACACAAAATTGCAATAAGGATTTTAAAAGTAAATATAATTAGGGTGTGTTTTCCATAAGCACAGGTTGGGCAAGGGATGGGTCTCATCTGACTGTAAGCAAAAAAAGGGTAAATGTTAGAGTTTGTTAACAAGTGGTTAATTCCTGGTATTAGTTCCTGTAGTCACAGAAGCCTTAAAACTTACAATATTATAATTTTGGCTTTTAGCTAGATGGTGCTGTAAGTCCCTATTGTAGCAAATTGTTTGTAAATGCATCAAAGCAAAGAATCAGTAAAGGACAGCTCAATGAAGAGAGAAAAGAATTAGTAAAATAAAGTGTTATTTTTTGCCAGCCTCAAGGGGCGCATCCAAATAAGTATGCATAGACATTTCCCCAAGGGCAAATAGCAGCAGCACATAGTTATGCCACTGCTACTTATCCCCAGGGAATGCCCCTGCACACACACTCTGGTGTGCAGCAAATTGCCCTGGGTGGGGTAGGAGAGGCCGGGATCCTAGGTAAGAGGAAAGCAGCCTTACCTGGGGACCCTGTGGGGCTGCAGCAGCAGTGATCTGGGCACGCAGAGCCTGACTGGCAGCCAGAGCATGATTCTGGCCGGCCAAGCTCCAGTTTCAGGTGGTGCACACTACAGCCACATGCGCCACCCTGCATTTTTTAATATCCTTTTTTGTAGATACTGGAATTTCCTGGTACCTAATTTTGGCTCTGCACTGCAAATATGCAGCACAGAGAACCTTTTTCTGTGTGCCACATGCATTTTGCAGCACCTCAAAAGCCTTTGAGGTGCCGCAAAGCACACAGGCACTCATCTGGACATAGACCCAAGTTGTATGAGAATACAATGGTGAAAAAAAGTCTGGCAGACTGTATTCTATTTGTTCCATAGCTTTCTTAATCATTGCAGTGCTAGAGTACACAGGTAATGCCCCCACTGGTCTACTATGCTAGGTACAATCATTACACTTTTACCAGTATAAGCAATGGGAACCCAGCCTATACTTGTAAAAGACAAACATTCAGCTCACAAAACCAGTGTATACCTGTAGCAAAACATAAGTTTGGTACACAGACTGGTTTAAAAATGGTAGAACCCGGCCTAAGTGTTGCCCTCCTCCCCCAACCAGAAGCTGAATGCATGTTCTGTTCGCTACTGATGTAAACTATACGGAAAACCATGCAACTTAGATCTATTCTGCCTCAGGCTTTTTGAATGTCTGTACTTAGCTCTAGTGAAAACTTGGTGGCCTGAACTTCTGAAAGCAGGGTGATTAACAGTCTGTTTGGGAAGCTCCTGTTATTTAGAACCTTGAGCTGACTAAGGAAAAACCTTTGGAGGGCTCATTGTCACAAGAGAAATGGATCTCAGTCTTGTTACAAAAATTTAAATTAAACTGACAAGTCCTAAGCTGGTTTTAACTCTATAAATTATTGTCTATTTTGGTATTTAAGACTTGGTGAAGCAAAGTGCTTTGTTACTACAGTTTTGTGGTAGATTCAGGAGCACGACAAGAAAATTTAATCTTAGCGTGCCTATACATGTTCAGCAAAGCTGTTCCGATGCACTGAAATTACAATGCATCAGAGCAGACTCGATTAATCAAGTCTTCTGGAGCGTGATAATTACTGTGCTCCAGCAGATTCCAGCATCATGTGTATCAGCTTCTGTGAGCTGAAAAATGGCTGCAGGGGCACTGTAACAGGAGGGCATCCTAGGGGTCGCCGTGCTCTCCCCTAACACCCCCTTTACCGTGCCAAGTTAGCCTAAAAGCACCCTCAAGTCTCTCCTGCCACGTCTTTGATGTTAATGTATAATAGGGAGGCTGCCTTTCTGTCCTCTTGGACATGATTATCCTGTTGTACACTGGCTCCATTTCTGTAATGGGTGTTTCAATTCACCCCAGCCTTATGGGTTATGTGTGCCTCCAAGCACCCCTTTACCACGCCCCAAGCCTCGCTGATGTAACTGACATTCTTCAGTCTCGCTCTGCACCTCACCGGCACTCGGGCTCTCCACAGGCGCTCATCAGTCGCTGCCCCCTCTCTCTGGGGCTTCTCGCTGCCCTCCTCTCTCTGGGGCTCGGGGTCAGTGCACCCCAATGCTGCGTCCTCCCTGGTGCTCGGGGTCGGTGCACCCCCAATGCTGCGCCTTCTCCAACACTCGGGGTCAGCACACCCCCAATGCTGTGTCCTCTTTGGTACCCGGGTCCCCATGCTGCCATGGACCCCTATGAGGCCTCC